CGCTCAAGGAGGCCGTGTTAATGTGTTCTCACGGGAGTCCCGGCTGTGGGCCAGCCTTGGCCCTTCCCGGACGAGGCGGTGCGTGGAGGAACGGGGGGCAATGGGGGCAACGGGGCGGGGGCGGCCAGGACCCCAGGGTCGCCGACAAGCAGGACCGTGTGGGCGCACGGTGGGGTTCGGAGACCCCACCCCAGTCGAAGCTCCAAGCCGGCGGCGCCGTGAGGTCCGACGTTCCCCGACGAAGGGACCCTCCCCCACCGCCCCCCGCCGCCCCCGGAGAGGTCCAGCCCGGGGTGGGGGGGCGGGGGGAGAAGGTGTGGGCCGGCGTGACGGGCGCTCCCTCTCCCTCAGGGGGCGCCCTGTCCGGGCCCCCGAGCGGGCGGAAGCAGAGGGGGCGCCAAGCGGCGGGAGACGAGGCCATGGGCGCGCGCGTCGGGGCGCTGCTGCTGGCGCAGCTGCTGGTGCGAGTGGAGCTCGGGAGGCAGGGTGAGCTCAGGCGGGGGCCGCCGGCCGGCGTCGGGCTGCTGGAGGGGCGGCTGGGGCGCGCGCAGACCGGGCGGAGCTCACCCGCGCCCCCCCCGCCCCCCCCAGAGTTTCAGGATCAGGACCAGCTGTTTGCAGGTAAGGCGCCCAGGACGCGCGCTTCCCCCCGCGGGGCCCCTGAGCCGCAGCGTAGAGGGCGCCTCATCTTCTCCTCTCCTCCGCCCAGGTTTCGAGAACTCGTCGTTGCTCACGTGTAACTGCCGGGCCCCTGGGGAGAGGGGCGGGCGCCCGCGGACCACGTGGGGAGGGTTCCGGGGTCCCCTGGTCCCCCTGCGGCGCGACCCCCGACGCGCGCCCTTCCCGGTTCCCGAAGGGGAGCCCCTTCCCTTCGCGCAGGAGGGCGGGGTCCTGCCGCTCAGCCGCGTGTCCGTCTGTCCGTCCCAGGGCCCTGCGGCCGCCACAAAATCGAGCCGCGCGTGGTGGGCGGAAAGGACTCGAAGCTGGGGCGCTGGCCGTGGCAGGTCAGCCTGCGCAGGGGTAAACGCCACCGCTGCGGAGCGAGCCTGCTGAACCGCCGCTGGGTGCTCACGGCCGCGCACTGCTTCGAAAAGTGAGTCTGGGGGCGGGCGGCCCCCACACCAGGGGACGGGGTGGGGGGAAGGGGGTTGAGGGGGCTGTCCGGGTCCTGCGCGCCCTTCGGGTGCGGATGCAGCCCTCGTGTTTTCCTGAGCCCCAGGCCCGGCTGCAGACACGTGAGGAAAACCTTGTTCCCTTTCTTCAAGAACATTCCTCAGAACATTCGCGCGCACTTTTGTGTCGTGTTCTTTTCTGTCTTCTTTTCTCCCCAAATGGCAGCACCAGGCGTCTCCTTCCTCATCCCACGTCCAGGTGGAGGCGTACTAGGGGTTGGAAGGAGGTGGGGAAGTGCTGGGCACAGAGCCTGGGCAGTGGTGAAGGTGGTGGTGGAGTTTTCCACCTGCTCTGGTTCTGTGCATCTGTTCATTGTTTTTTTAGGACAGCTGTGGGAGGTGACAGGCTGGCTGAGTGACTGGCCAGATCAGGCCCCAGGGGGAGGCACCCTGCCGCCGCACCCCCACGTCCCCAGAGTCTAGGACTTTGGTCCACCTTCTTTGGGCGTTATCATTTCTACACTGGAGGTTTTGGCCCGTGAGAGGAACTGTAATGGTGTCCAGGATGAGCCCTAGTAGCACCCGCAGCATTCCCACCTCGGGGACTCGGCCCCAGGTGTGCTCAGGGGGGCCTCCCTTCTCTAAGGATTCCTCCCTGTTCTCTCCTCCCTTGCCAGGCACAGTGATCCCTCGAAATGGACGGCTCAGATCGGTGAGCTGTCTTCTAGGCCAAGTTCCTGGAAACTGTGGACCTTCTACCATCGTTACAGGGTGAAGGATATTATTATATATCCCCAGTTTAGTGGGACTTCACTCAAGGACATCGCCCTGCTGAAGCTGTCCTCCTCTGTCACCTACAATAAGTACATCCAGCCCATCTGTGTTCTGACCTCCTCTTCCGAGTTCCAGAACCGGACCAACTGCTGGGTGACCGGCTGGGGGGACATCCAAGAAGATCAGGGTGAGGCTGGGGGCAGGGAGGGGGGCCTCACGCTCCACCATCTGTTGCATCTGCACCTGGGTCTGTGTGCAGCTGGGGCCGCTCAGCACTGTCTCTTCATCTGCTGTCCGCTCCTGCTCCGCCTCGGAAGGGACAGACTTCTGTCCTCACAGCCGCTTCCCTCTCCCTTCCAGAGACTGTGAGCCAGGAGCCGCAGTGAGAGGGAGCCCAGCTGGGCCCGGGCCTGCACCCCCCAGACTGCAGCAGTGTGGAAGTTTTGGGGTTAGACTTGTCAGAAAGGTCTCAGGTGTTTTGGGGTTTTTTAATTCAGATTTAACTCACAAAACATAAAATTCACCATTTTAAAGTGTAAAATTCTGTGGCATTTAATTTAGCTCATTCACAGTGTATAACCATCAACTCTATCAAGTTCCAAAACATTGTCATTGCTTCCCAAGGAAATCCTGCAATCATTAAGCAGTCACTCCTTACCCTCTCCTTCCAGCCTTTGGCAACCACTAACAAGCTTCTTGTCTTTATGGATTTACGTATTCTGGGTATTTCCTGTAAATGGGTTCATACACTATTGGACCTTTTGTGTTTGGCTTCTTGCACTTAGCGTAAGGTTTTCATGATTCATCTATGTTATAGTATGTGTCAGAATCTCGTTCCTTTTTATGGCCAAATAATATCTCATTGTATGGCTATACCACAATTTCTTTAGCCATTCTTCCATTGGTGGACATTTGTGTTTCTGCCTTTTGGGTATTGTGAATAGAGCTGCTATAAACATTAACATACAAATTTTTGTTTGAACATCTCTTTTCAAATCTTTTGTGTATATATTTAGGCACACAATTGCTGAACCACGTGGTAATTCCGTGTTTAACTTTTTGAGGAACCAAGAAACAGTGTTCCACAACAGCCGCACCATTTTACATTCCCCTCAACAATGAATGAGGGTTATAATTTCTCCCCATTCTCCTCAACACTTGTTTTTTTTCCTCCATCCTAGTGGATGTGAAGTGACGTCTCATTGGGGTTTTGATTTGCATTTTCTTAAAATGACCAGGGATATTGAGCATCTTTTCATGTGTTGTTGGCTGTTTGTAGATCTTTCTTGGAGAAACGCCTATTCAAGGCCTTTACCCATTTTTAAATTGAGTTGTCTTTGTTGTTGAGTCGTCAAATTTTGTTATTTTTTTAAAGATTTTATTTATGTATTTGACAGAGAGATAGTGAGAGCAAGAACACAAGCAGGAGGAGTGGGAGAGGGAGAAGCAGGCTTCCCGCCGAGCATGGAGCCCGATGTGAGGCTCAATCCCACGACCCCGGGATCATGACCTGAGCCAAAGGCAGATGCTCAATGACTGAGCCACCCAGGCGCCCCCTAATTTTTTTTAATTATTAAAGATTTTATTTATTTATTTGACAGAGAGCACAAGCAGGGGGAGCAGCAGAGAGAGAGGGAGAAGCAGGCTCCCTGCTGAGCAAGGAGTCCGATGTGGGGCTCAATCCCAGGACCCTGGGATCATGACCTGAGCTGAAGGCAGACGCTCAACTGACTGAGCCACCCAGGCACCCTTGTTGTAGAGTTGTAATAGTTCTTTATATGTTCTGGTTACTAAACCCTCATCAGACATATGATTTGCAAATATTTTCTCCCATTCTGCAGATTTCTTTGCACTTCCTTGATAGTGTCTTTTGATGCAAAAAAAATTTTTTAATTTTGATGTTTAAATCATTTATTTTTTCTTTTGTTGCTTGTGCTTTTGATGTTATATCTAAGAACCTATCACCAAATTCTAGGTCATGAAGATGTACTTCCATGTTTTCTTGAAGGGTTTTATAGTTTTAGCTCTTACATTTATGTTTCTGACCCATTTTGAGTTGATTTTTGTATATGGTATGAGGTAGGGGTCCAGTTTCATTCTTTTGCATGTAGATATCCCAGTTGTCCCAGCACCATTTGTTAAAGAGACTCCTCTTGGGCACCTGGTGGCTCATTCAGGTAAGCGTCTGCCTTTGGCTTGGGTTGTGATCCCAGCTTCCTGGATGGAGCCCCGCATCAGGATCCCTGCTCATCGGGAAGCCCACTTCTCCCTCTCCTCCTCCCCACTTTGTTTGCTCTCTCTCTCTGTCAAATAAATAAATTTAAAAAAAGAGAGAGAGAGAGACTCCTACCGCCCTTGAATTGTCTTGGCACCCTTATTGTTTGACCACAGATGTGTGGGTTTATTTCTAGACTCTCAATTGTACTCCTTTGTTCTGTATGTTCATCTTATGCCAGGACCTCATTGTTTGATTCTTATAACTTTATAATATGTTTTGAAATCAGGGAGTGTGAATCTTCTAACTTTGTTCTACTTGTTCAATATTGTTTTGGTTATTTGGGGTCTCTTGGTATTCCATATGAATTTGAGGGTCAGCTTGTCAATTTCTGCTAAAAAGAGCATTGGGATTTGGAGAAGGATTGCATTGAATTTGTAGATTGCTTTGGGGAGTAGTGCCATCTTCATTATGTCTCCAATCCATGAACATGGGATATATTTCCATTTGTTTAGGTCTTTAATTTCTTCTCCTGGGGCTCCTGGGTGGCTCATTCAGCTAAGTGTCTGCCTTCAGCTTAGGTCATGATCCCAGGGTCCTGAGATGGAGCCCCACATGGGGCTCCCTGCTCAGTGGGGAGCCTGCTTCTCCCTCTTCCCCTCCCCCCTGCTCGTGCTCTCTCTCTCTCTCAAATAAATAAATAAAATCTTTAAAAAAAATTTCTTGTTTTTTTTAGAGAGCGTGCAAGCTGGGGGAGGGGCAGCGGGAGAAGGAGAGAGAGAATCCCAAGCAGACTCCATGCGGAGTGCAAGACCTGATGCGGGGCTAGATCTCATGACCCTGAGATCATGACCCAAGCTGAAATCCAGAGTCAGATGCTCAACCGGTTGAGCCACCCAGGTGCCCTAGGTCTTCAATTTCTTTCAGCAATGTTTTATAGTCTTTTTGTGTGTAAGTCTTTCATCTCCTGAATTAAATTTATTCCTAACTATTATTTTTGATGCTTTGTAAATGAAATTTCTTATTAAATTTCCTTTTAGAATTGTTCATTGGTAGTATAACAGACTCTTGTGTTTTGATCTTGGACCCTAGAATTTTGCTGACTTCACTTATTAACTGTAATTCTCTTTTGTGTATTTTTTAAATATTTTATTTATTTATTTGAGAGAGAGAATGAGATAGAGCATGAGAGGGGGGAGGGTCAGAGGGAGAGGCAGACTCCCTGCTCATCAGGGAGCCCGATGCGGGACTCAATCCCGGGACTCCAGGATCATGACCTGAGCCGAAGGCAGTCGCTTAACCACCTGAGCCACCCAGGCACCCTCTTTTGTGTATGCTTGATGATTTTCTATGTATAAGATCATATCATCCATGAATAGAGATAGTTTTACCTCTTCCTTTCCAATTTTGATGTGTTTTGTTTCTTTTTCTTGGCTAACTGCCCTGACTAGAACTTCCAGTAAAATGTTAAATAGAAATGGCAAAAACTGGCATCACTGTCTTGTTCCTGATCTTAGGGGGAAAGCTTTCAGTCTTTCACCATTCAGTATGATGTTAGCTGTGAGTTTTTTACATATATTCTTTATCAGGTTGAGGAATTTTCTTCTATTCCTAGTTTATAGAGTGTTTTTATGATGAAGGACTTTTGGATTTTGCCAACTGCTTTGCCTGCATCAACTAAGTTGACTGTGTGTTTTTCCCCTTCATTTTATTAATGTATGCAGTACATTATATTGATTGATTTTCATATATGGAACCACCCTTTCATTCACGGGATAAATCTCACTTGGTCATGATGTACAATTCTTTTAATATGCTGTTGGATTCAGTTTGCTAGCATTTTGTTGAGGATTTTTGCATATATATTCATGAAGGATATTGGTCTATTGTTTCTTTTTCTTGTGATGTCCTTGTCTGGGATTTGGTGTCACTGTAATGCTTGTCCCATGGAATGAGTTAGGAAGTGTTCCTTCCTCTTGTATTTTTTGGAAGAGTTCAGGAAGGATTGGTGTTAATTTCTTCTGATGTTTGGTAGAATTCACCATTGAAGGCATCTGGTCCAAGGTTTGTCTTTGTTGGGAGGTTCCTACAACACATTCAATCTCTTATTGCTCTGTTCAGATGTTCTATTTCTTCCTGATTCAGTTTTGGTAGTTTATATGTTTCTGAGATTTTGTGCATCTCATTGCTGTGATCTAATTTGTTGGGGTACAACTGGTCATATTCCCCTACAGACATCATTATTTCTGTAAGGTCAGTAGTAATGGCCTCACTGTCATTGTCAGTTATGTTGATCTTTCAAAGAACCAAGTTCTGATTTTGTTGATTTTCTCTGTTCTTCTATCCCCATAGCTTGATTCTGTCTGTTCCTCTCTTTATGATTTCCTTCCATCTTCTACCATTAAGTTCAGTCTGCTCTGCTTTTTCTACTTCCTTAAGCTGTAAATCAGAGGACTGGTCTAAGATTTTTCTCCTGTGTTAATGTCGGCATTTCCAGCTGTAAGTTTCCTTCTGAGGGCTGCCCGTGCTGCATCCCATTAGTTTTGGTGCGTCTTATTTTCATCTGCATTCATTTCAAAGTGTTTTCTCATTTTCCTTGTGATTTTTTTTCTTTCATCCACTGGTAAAGAATATGTTGTTTAATTTCCACACATCCATGAATTTTTGTTTGTCTTCTGTTACTGGCTTCTAGCCTCAGTCCCCTGTGGTTGGAGAAATGTTGTGTATGATTTCAATCTTTTCTAATTTATTGCAGCTTATTTTGTGACCTGACATACAGTCTGTCCTGGAGAGTGTCCCACATGCACCTGAGAGGGATGTGTGTTCTGCCATTGTCTGGGCAGGTCGTTCTGTGTATGTCTGTTAGGTCCCCTATTTTCTTGTTGATCTCCTCTCTGGTGGTTCTACTCATTATTCAAAGTGGGGTTTTGAGCCTCGAACTGTGGTTAGAACTGTTTCTCCCACTAGTTCTGTCAATTTTGCCTCATGTATTTTGGGGCTTGGTAGGTGTGTCAATGTTTGTAATTATTCTATCTTCTTAATGATTTTGACACTGTTATCAATATGGATTGTTCTTTTTTGATTCTCATAACAAGTTTTAACTGAAAGTCTGTTTTGTCTGACATTAAAATAGCAACCTCTGCTCTTCTCTGGTAGTTATTTGTGTGGAATCTCTTTTTCCCCAAACTTTTACTGTGCCTTTGGATCTAAAATGATTGTCTTGCACACAGTACGTAGTTGGATCTTGTGTTTGTAATCCATTCTGCTAATCTTTGCTTGTTTGCAGTGTTTAATCCATTTACATTAAAATTACTGACAAGGATTTACTTCTATCGCTATTTTGTTTTCTATTATCTTGTCGTATCTGTTAATATCTATGTCTGTATCCTGCATCTTTTTTATTTCCTCCTTTTGTGTTTCATTGATTTTTATTAGTGTACTGTGTGGACTCCCTTCCCATTTCCTGTTCTGTATATTTTCTTAGTGGTTTCCCTGGGGATTACAATTAACAAATTTATTTCACTTTATTTTATTCAAGATTTTTTTAAATTTTTTTTTAAAGATTTTTATTATTTGAGAGAGAGAATGAGATAGAGAGCATGAGACGGGGGAGGGTCAGAGGGAGAAGCAGACTCCCCGCTGAGCAGGAAGCCCGATGTGGGACTCAATCCTAGGACTCCAGGATCATGACCCAAGCCAAAGGCAGTCGCCCAACCAACTGAGCCACCCAGGTGCCCTTTTTTTTTTAATTTTTAAGTAGTCTCTACACCCAACGTGGGGCTCGAACTCCTAACCCTAAGATCAAGAGTCGCACGCTCTACCAGCTGAGCCAGCCAGATGCCCCTATAGCAATTTATTTTGAATTAATACTGACTTAGCTTCAATAGTATACAAAAATTCTGTTCCTGTACAGCTCTATTCCTCCCTTTTAAGCTCTTATTGTCAAGTTTACATATCGTGCAACCGTTAACAGAAATATATAATTGTTGTTTTGTGCATGTGTCTTTAATTATAAAAGGGAAAAAAGAAGTGACAAATGAAAACTATAAGAACACTCGTTCTCATGTTTACCCATGTGGTCTCCTTTACCAGCGTTGTCTCTCTCTTTCTATGAAAGGACACAGTGTCCTTTGATTGCAGCCTGAAGATCTCCCTTTTGCATTTCTTGTCAGGTGGGTCTACTTGGGAGGCACCCTTTGGGCATCTGTTTATCTGAGAATCTCTTAAACTCTCCCTCACTTTCTGAAGGATAGTTTTGCTCAATACAGAAGATACAGAATTGTCGGTTGACTCTTCTGTTCTTTCAGCACTTGGAATATGTCATCCCTTTGCCTCCTGGCCTCCCTGTATCTGAAAAGCATTTGGCTGTTAATCTTGTTAAAGATCTTTCACTTGATGTGAAGCTTCTCTCTTGCTGTTTACAAAATTCTCCCTTTGTTTTTTGAGAGTTTGATGAAAATATATCTCAGTGTGGACCTCCTTGTGTTTATCCTACTTGGAGATTGTTCAGCTTCTTTGGGGTATAGATTCACATCTTTTAACAAATCCGGGGCATTTTCAACCTGAATCTTGCAGATATAGTATGTTAATCCTAAACCATCTCAGTATGTTTTTGCCCCACCCCTACCCCATGCATGCTGTGGCCAAGGGACCACCCCACTGGCTTAGGCAGGGGCTGTCATCCCCATTCTACAGAGAGAGAAACCAAGCCTCAGCTCTCCATCCATTGGGTCCTTCAGTGATGTTGTTCATCACCCATAATGTGCAGGGTGCTGGGCTAGAGCAGAAGAGTCATCAAGAGCAATGTCCCAGGCACCTTGGGTGTCCCAGGGACCCCACTCCCTGTCCCAGATGGCAGAGGAGGGGCTAAGTCATTGTCTTTCTGTCACCCCAACCCCTGGCAGCTCTGCCCCCTCCTTACATTCTCCATGAAGTGCCGGTCTCCATCATAAACAACTCCCAGTGTGACTACCTGTTACACCAGCCCAGCTTCCTCAGTAACGACCTGAATGACATGATTTGTGCTGGCTCCGAGGATGGCAGCCGGGACGCCTGCAAAGTGAGTGCCCCTGCCCTAAGAAGGGCCTTGCTGGAACCGGGCACCACCCCTCCCAACGTTGGACCTGGGAGCAACCCCCATGATGCCCATCAACCCACCCTCAGCATTTATTCATGAGAAAACAACAGGAGATCTTAGTTATCTAGCCCGTGAGACAAGCATTGTTTTGCATTCATTGTACCTCTTTTGATCCTCACCTGGAAATGGGGGGGGCAGTTAGGGACTATTGCCCCACTTTGCAGATGCAGAAACTGAGGCTTGTTCACTTCCGGGGTGGGGGGTGGGATTTGCACCCAGTCTGCCCAGCTCCACAGCCCCTCCTGCTGTCCCCGCCTCTCCCCTAGCCCCTCGGGCCCCGCCCCAGGCCTGGCTCACCCGCGCTGCTCCCCAGGGTGACTCAGGTGGACCCCTGGCCTGTGAAAAGAAAGGGCTGTGGATTCAGGTTGGAATCGTGAGCTGGGGATCAGGCTGCGGGAGGCCCAACCGGCCGGGTGTCTACACCAACGTCAGTGTATATTTCAACTGGATCCGGATGCTGTTGGCTCACAGCCACGGTGTTCCCAGGCCAGCCCCCTGCCGGCCCGCGCTCCTCCTCCCTCTGCTCTGGCCTGCCTCCCTCCTGCAGCTGGCCTGAGCCCTGCAGAGCCCAGGAGAGTGGGGCCATCTGCTAAGCCAGGCCCCGTCTCCCTGTGTTCCTTTGCTAATAAACATGTTTGCATGTTGGAGTCTGTGCCTTGCGGAGGTTTCTGCGGCCCCGGGGGGCTCCCTGGACCCCCAGTCACCCTAGCAGCACTCCCTAACTCCTAAATCTTGCTCCAGCGGTCCGGACTATTCAGGTTTGGGGGGCAAACCACAGGACCCCCACCGGTTAGTTGAGTCAGAAAGATAATTTATGGGAGGACATTAGAGCCAGTCAGCTCCGCCCTCAAGTTTGCCCACAGAGTTGGCTGTGTGTCCCCAGACTCCCCTGTCACTCTCCCACCAGGCTCTCCAGCTGCACCAAAGGGAACACCTCCAGCCCCACTGCCACCAGGCCCTCCGGGGGCAGCTGAACCCCAGATCATAAAAGGTCAGGAGTCTTGGGAGGACAGGAGGGAGCTTCTTTTATTCTCCTCGCGCTTTTATCGCGTTTGAGTGAGCCAGGCTCCCTGGTGGGGCCTGGGCTGACCCAGCTCTTCTTCAAAACAGCCTCTTAAAGAAGAGGAGCCCACCCACAAGGCCTGGGCACTGCAGGGAGAGCGGGTCACAGCCCGGTACCAGACACCTCGGGCTTGAGCAGGGGCCGCAGGGGTCAGTCCTGGGGCTGCCCTCCCTCCATCCCCATGAGAGGTGGGTGCCAAGTTCCCTCTCCCGTAGCCCTTGCCCTCACCCCCAGCCTGCTGCCCTACTCGCCCACAGTGCATGCTCTACGCTGGGCACTGCTCTGGCCCTCAAGGACCATTATGGACTGGATGTCTGTGTCCCCTCCAAAATTCATGTTTTGAAGCCCACCCTCCAGCATGACTATATTTAGAGATCGGCCCTTTATGGAAGGGGCCAGGGTTAGGATGGGTCCTGAGAGTGAGGCTCTGATCCCCTAGGCCCCCTTCTTATAAGAAGAGACGTCAGAGAGCTCCCTCTGCGTCCCAACACCTCTCCCTCCTGGAGGCAGGGAAGAGGCCGTGGCCGCCTCCGTGCCAGGAACAGAGGTCTCAGAATGGGGCCCACCGTGCCAGCACCTTGTTCCTGGACTCGGCAGCCTGCAGAACTGTGAGAAATGTTTGTTTCAGTAGCTCAGTCTGGCATTCTGTTCTGGCAGCCGGGGCCAAGATAGACGCTCGGACTCCACCTCACAGAGAGGAGACGAGCAGCCGTGAGTCAGGCCTCCTCCATCACATGTCACCACACACAGTGACATGCCTGGGATGGAGTTATGGCCGGGCAGGAAGGCGCCTCAGGAGGCCGGGGTGGAGCAGAGTTGACCAGGCAGAAAGGAGCTCCAGAGCCTTCTGGGTGGTGGACACAGTCCGGGCCCACCCCTCTGCCGACCCTTGTTCCCAGCATCTACCAGCTTCACCGAGGCTAGCAGCCTCACTGTCCTGGCCACACCGAATTCAAGAGAGGGCCGTTCCCCAAGGTCAAGTCCGCTTCTGCTTCTGGTCAAGCAAGGAGTGCTGGTGGCTTTCAACCAGCCATCCCCCACTTCGAATTAGTGCAGAGCGGGATCTGGGTGGGGTTCCGTGTGGGCGGCCGTGCTGGGATTTCTGGACAGAACGGTAGTGTTCACAAGCTCTGCGACCAGCCCTAACGGGAGCCAGGAGCTAGGATCAGGTTCAGAGATGAGCTGCCAAGGATTCTCCAGAGCTTCCTGGCCTGACCGCAGCCCTCCGCCCCCACCCTTGGCTGCCCGAGTGCAGGCTCCCACCCCCAGCTCTCAGCACCGTGGCCCAAGCCAGGTGTCCTTTGACAAACCCAGGTGTCCCTTTCCTGCCACCTCAAAAGTGCTGCTCAAAGCATCTTTGTTTGAGGCCCCGCCCTGGCTCCTTAATCACCCCCTGGCCAGGCCCCCACCCCCTCTGGCTCTTTAAGCCCCCAGGTCCTCCCCCTGCCCAGTCTGCAGGGAGGGCACCAGCCACGTAGGTAAGAGCAGGGTGCAGGGGCCGTTAGGGCAGGAGGGGGCGGCCGGCAGGCAATGGAACTAGGTGGTGGCCAGGGCTCCTGTGGACGCCGAGGGTGCTCAAATCTCGCAGGGGTTGGGGGGACAGGCATAGTCCCTGGGGTGTGGGCAGAGGGAAGTGCATAGAAACTGGGCCCCCGGGGATAGGTCCAGGACCAACCGGGGGCTGAGGGAAGACAGAGGGCCTCTGGGGCCTGGGCTAGGACCCTCCTCTCGTCTCATTGCAGGTTCTGACCAGAGTTCCCACCCTGAGCCGTGCTGCCCTTCAGGCCCAGCTCTGAAGACACAATGAGAGGGCCTTCCTGCCTCTGGGTCTTGCTCCTACTGCTGCTAGGTGAGTGGGGGGCAGGGGCTGGGGGGTTCCCAGATGCCCCATCACACCCCTCTCTGGCCTGGTTCCCCTAGAGCACTCCGGGGCACCCTAACCTTGGCTTCACCGGTTTACCTTCTCCCCATCACTGACCGTGGGCTCTCCAAGCTCCAATGTGCCCGTGTGTGTCCGAGATGTGAGTCCCCACCTCACACTGCCCTGGGGAGGGTTAAAGCAGGTAACCAGGCCAACGTGTTGATTGCACAAAAGCCTGGCACCAGGTCAGTGCGACAAGTATGTTTCACCCTCCTTCCTAATCTCTGACATCCCTCCCCCTCCCCCGTTATCTGACACCAAGTCCGTAATCCAGTGCCTTCCCTGCTTCCTCCTGCAGGAGCTGCTGGGATAGGGACGCTGGAGTCTGCAGGTAAGGAAGCCTCAGAGTCCCTGACGTTGGCCCTGTGTCTCCCCGACCCCACCCACCTCCCAGGCCCCCAGTCTTCCGCCCTCCCTCGCGTCCCCCTTGTCTCCTGCAGCCTGCGGGCAGCCCCAGGTGTCGAGTCGGATCGTGGGGGGCCGGGACGCCCGGGACGGACAGTGGCCGTGGCAGGCGAGCATCCAGCACCGCGGGGCGCACGTGTGCGGGGGCTCGCTCATCGCCCCCCAGTGGGTGCTGACCGCAGCGCACTGCTTCCCCAGGTCAGCGGAGGGGCGGGGCGCGGGGGACCCAGGGACAGGGGGCAGGTGTGGCGGGGCCCGGGGCGCCGTGAGCAGCGCCGCCCCCTGTCGCGCAGGCCGACGCTGCCGTCCGAGTACCGCGTGCGCCTCGGGGCGCTGCACCTGGGCCCCGACTCGCCCCGCGCGCTCTCGGCGCCCGTGCGAAGGGTGCTGCTGCCCCCGGACTACTCGGAGGACCGCGCCCGCGGCGACCTGGCGCTGCTGCAGCTGCGCCGCCCGGTGCCCCTGAGCGCCCGCATCCAGCCCGTCTGCCTGCCCGAGCCCGGGGCCCGCCCGCCCCCGGGCACACCGTGCTGGGTCACCGGCTGGGGCAGCCTGCGGCCGGGAGGTGAGGCAGGGGGGCGGGGCACGGGGGCCTGGCGGGGAGGGACGCGGGATCCCTCTCCACCTCCCTCTGACCCGGAAGGCCAGCCCTGCGCTGTCGCAGTTCGGGGCTCAGCGCGACCTCCGGGGACCCAATCCTCCTCCTCCCAGTCAGCCCAGCTAGTCCTGCCTGGCCCGGCGGGTCAGGCTTGTCAGCCCCTGCCTCTCCCAGCTCTCAGAAGCCCCCCTTTCCCCCCCCACCCCGCCCGCCCCGCCAGTGCCACTTCCAGACTGGCGACCTCTGCAGGGAGTAAGGGTGCCACTGCTGGATGCGCGCACCTGTGACCATCTCTACCACGTGGGCACCAACGTGCCCAGCGCGGAGCACATAGTGCTGCCCGGAAACCTGTGTGCCGGCTACATCCAGGGCCGCAAAGATGCCTGTCAGGTGCGGGAACCTGCCTGGACCCCTGGAGTCTAGATCCAGCACCCGCCCGCCCTCCCTGGAACCCAGGGGCTGTACATCCTGGCCCCTAACCCAGAGGCACTGCCTTAGGGACTGGGGCCTGGGACTGCCATCCCAAATCTTCAAAGGGCTGAGACCTAAGCTTGCCTTTCTCCTGCAGGGTGACTCTGGGGGACCCCTGACCTGCGTGAGATCCGGGCGCTGGGTCCTGGTGGGCGTGGTGAGCTGGGGCAAGGGCTGTGCCCTGCCCAACCGTCCAGGGGTCTACAGCAACGTGGCCGCTTACAGCCCCTGGATTCAGGCTCGTCTTAGCCTCTAATGCAGTAACACTGACCTGGAGCCAGAGGCTGGGGTCCCTCTGAGGACCTGCCCATTCCCCACACCTTGCCCCTTCCAACTTGAGGCTCACAGGCCTTATAAAGCTAAGGTGTCATCCATCCGTCCATCCCTGCCTCCTCCATAGGGCTCACCAAGCCCTAACCGCCAACCTTCCTCCAGGAGTCTCCCGTTTGGAGGGGGCGGGGGGGGCTGTCTCACAATTCCTCATGCCCCCCTCCCCTCCTTCTCATATTTACCCTTCTCAGCTTCAGCGGGGGGCTGGGCCCAGGTCCCCAGAGACAGGCAAGCCAGCTGGTGCCTGGTCTGGCCTCCGGGCCCCCTTTCTCTGGAGGAAGTCAGGGAGCTTCAAAGTGTGAGAGGGATTCAGCCCCAGGGAGATGCTTCTCCATTGCTGGCTTTGAAGATGGAGCGGCCTCCAGGAGCTGAGGGCAGACCCCAGCTGACAGCCAGCGGGGAAGCCCCTCACTGCTACAACAGCAAGATGCTGAATGAGCCTGGGACCCAGCTCCCCGCCGGCCTCCAGATGAGAGCCCCACCAGGCCGCCCCACAGGCCAAGCCCTTGAGCCCAGTGGAGCCCACCCAGACTTCTGGCCCACAGAGTTGTGATTTAATAAATTTGGGTGGTTGTAGGCTGCTATGTTGGTGGTCGTTTACTACAGAGCAATAGAAAATGAATCTGGATCTTGCCCCACTGCAGTGGAGGTGCCCCCAGGGTCTGGGTGGGTGAGCCCTAGGCTCTAAAAGGCTCAGGAGCCTGGGGCACCTGGCATCATGCCCTCTACCCAGGAGGGGCCAGGAGCCCCCAGACAGGCCTGGCCAGAGCTTCTGCTGTGCTTGTTTCTGTGGTTACAGCCATCCTCACTGGGGAAAGTCTGGGGCTGTGTCCCAGCCGTGGCAAGGGGCCCACAGACCCAGAACCCGCCCCACACCTGCATCTCAAACTAGCTTAGGCCCCTTGCAGCTCCCTGCCCACCCTTGTGTGCCTGGGACCTGGTTCCTGTCCCTTCCGTGCCATCTGCTCATCCCCAGGCCGAAGACCATCCATCCCAATAGATACAGCTCAGTGTCTAGAACTGCAGAAGGAACAAGAAACTGAACAAAACTTGGAAACCCCAAAGCCTAATCTTTGAGGCTAACAGGGACAGTGGGGGCAGGGGGCAGGAGGGAGGCCATCATCAAAGGTGCAGCCCCGGGGGGCAGGCCTGAGGCTCACCTCCTCCCTTCCCTCCCAGGAGGGAAGGTAGCTGCACCCCGAGTGGTCGCTGCCAGGCTGGGCCAGGCAGGCAGGGTGGGCCCACAGACTTGGGCCATGAGGGAGCTCCAGACTGCTTTCTCCCCCCCTCCCCGCCCCCAGCTGAGGGCCATCCATCTGGGGAAGCACTTCGCTGTCCTTGGGGGATGGTTATCAGGGAGCAGGGTGCCCAGAACGGGGCATGGCTTATGGGCACGTCAGCAAGGGGACCCTGGTGGCCCCTGCTGGTTGATGCTGGCCATCCTCACTCCCTCCCTCAGCATGGGGCCAGCTAAGGAACCTTCCCCAGGACACCTCCTGAGGCACTGAGATGGGCACAAGCCAGGGCCTGGGAGCCAGTCTGTCTCAGCCTTGGACCTGCTGTGATTTGAGTAATGGTTCCCCATTCAGAGAGCCCCGTGTTTCAGAAGTATAACCTGGGAGCTAAACAAGGGAGTCAGAGCTGGAGGGACAGGAGCTGGGCCTAGAAGGGAAAGGTCAGCAAATGACAATCAGCTGCTCCTCATCAAGCCCTTACCAGATGCCACGCAGCGGGCTTCCCGGCACCGCCTCCTGGGATCCTCACCTGACACCCATTTCTCAGATGAGAAAGCTAAGAGCCAAAGTCACGCAGCTGGTAGATGGTAGGCTGAGATTCCCACCCAGGTGGTCTGAATCCGGAGGCAGCTGGGAATGGCGGAGGGGAGATTACAATCCCCTTTACTCTCTCCCCTTGCTTCCCGCCAGTGCGGGGCTCCGGGCTCCCCTTCTTCCAGCACCTTCCTGGTGTGCCAGCCTCGTGAGACCAGGCAAGTGCATCTCCTCGCCCAGCAGGCTCAGGGGCACGCCCCCCTGTGCTGGTGCGTCCCGTCTGTCAGCAAGGTCAGTGGGGGCGTGGGAGGGGGGTGGTGACGTGGCCCTGCATCAGCCACGGCTATGCGCCCTGCCAGGTGACAGGTCGGGAGACTGTGCCGCGGGGAGGGGAGCACCAGGTTGGCAGGGGTGGTCCTGGGTAGTCCAGGCATGGGGGACGCTGGGCTCCTCTCTAAGGCAGGCGGGCATTTCCTAGCTGCCCAACTGCTCTGGCTGGGGATGCTGCAACCAGATGGCCTAGCCACTCCCAAGAGTACTGACTTGACCTCGGTTTCCCCTTCTGTCCTCTGAACTGATGCCACGCAACCTGTCGTGGCTGCTGGAAGGGCTGAGGCCCTCACACTCCTGCCCGCCGAGCACGGCTGCTGTGCCCGGCGCGAGCACGCTCTCGGTTGCTCCCAGAACACACACGAGGTGTTCTCGTTTTCACTTTCACCAATGGGGAAACAGGCACAGAGAGGTTAAGTGGCGTGCCCTAAGGCCCACAGCTGGTAAGAGGTGGAACCAGGTCGAAGCTGGGCAGCTGACTCAAACTCCACACTGAGTTGTGAACCTTCCCTTGCGGAGATGAAAGTAGTTGTAAACACTCTACAAATGAGAGGTACACCAGAAACTACCAGTCGTGATAATTACTATCTAGTCATCGATACTTTAAAAAAAAAAAAAAAAAAAAGGAGGGGAAGGCCCATCAGGCCAAGACCCTGCAGGCTTAGTTTGAAGGCCAGGGAAGTGTCCCCGGCATGAGCACCGGGTGATTGAGGTGCAAGGGCAGAAAGGGCCCAGCCAGCCTTCCTGTGCAGAGAACCAAGAGCCGCTGGCCAGCCAGTTCACCCACCATCCTGAGACTCCCACTCTGTCTGTCATGGCTCCCAGGAGGGCAGACCTGCCCCCAGCGAAACCACAGAGCTAGGGGCTCTGGGGGGTCAGCCCCTACTCCCCCTCCAGCCCCTCCTGACTCCATTCCCACTGCACTCACAATGACACCAAGGCCTGCAGTCACCTCCTACAACCAACCCACCAAGTGGATGGTACCGTGGGGCTCAGAGAGACACCCTGAGGGGAAGGACTCATGTTGGGCAGGCCCCCCACCCTACTCGCCACCTTCCCTAGTCTGGGTGACCTCTAACAGCAGAGATCGCTGTAAGCAGACACCAGTCATTACCCAAACCCCAGCACTGTGCTGTGTGTGCATTAGCTCATCAGTGCCCCCCAAATGCCATATGTAGTCCAATTGTGTATCCCCTTCATGGATGGGAAAACAGGTGGAGGCTCAGTGCCTTGCCTAAGATCATAGTCAATAAGCTGATGTTTGAACTCAGATAGTCGGCTGGAGGGTGGGTGGAGACAGGCATGATCCTCAGAGGGTTGGAGTGTGGGTCCACTCAGGATGACTCCTGGTAGGCATCCTGAGCTGTGACACCGGCCAGGACAAACCGAATAAGGCAGGTGACTACGTGGCAATAGTGTGCACATTCAGGACAATAGGCCAGGGTGCAGCTGGGCCAGAACATCGTGGGCGAAGAGGAGGCCCCTCCTTTACCTACACCCCTGGACTCCATCTTTACCTGCCTCATTCTGGAAAGTCGGCTGGATGCCTCTGAGAACCTCCTTGGCCCCCATGGGCCACAACCCTCCCCTGCCGCACGCTCTCCTTCCTCAGCAGTATAGGATCTAAAGCCTCCAAATCTCTGTACCCAAAGATGCTTGAGAATAAGATGAAAATCTTCGGCCTGAGCCAAGGACTCTCCGCACCAGTGACTCGTCCACCACCTCCTGACTCGGGTGAAGAAGCAGCGGTGGAGGTCAGTCAGGGGCAGGGGAGTTAGCAGGGAGCCAGGGCTGCTGAGGGTCAGGGAGGGAAGAGTCACAGGAGGGGAGAGGACTTCAGGGAGCTCTGGAGGAGGCAGAGGCTAGAAGTCAAAAATAATTACGGTTACAGTTTTAGAAACACCTACTGAGTACCAATTCTTGATGAAAATCTACAAACTTTACAAACAGCTGTTCTCTCATCTTAAAGAAGAGGAAACTGGACTTTCATGAAGTTAACTGCCCAAAGCTGCACAGGCAGCGCCGGGACCAAGTATTTGAATCCCCGGTGGTCTGAGCACGCAGCCCGCCCTGTGAAAATTAGTGAAAGGAAACCTCATTTAGAACACAGCCCCGGGGCCAGCAGGGGGCGCTCTCAGCCTTCTCGCTCATCAATTGCAGCCCCAGGGGGAAGTCACACCTGGCAGGTGCATGCTGCTTTACTAACCCAGCAGGAGGCAGGCAACAGCCCAGCCAATGAAAAGCCACTATTAGGGCGCCTGGGTGGCTCAGTCGTTAAGCGTCTGCCTTTGGCTCGGGTCATGATCCCGGGGTCCTGGGATTGAGCCCCACATCGGGCTCCCTGCTCGGCAGGAAGCCTGCTTCTCCCTCTCCCACTCCCCCTGCTTGTGTTCCTGCTCTCACTATCTCTCTCTCTGTCAAATAAATAAAATCTTAAAAAGAAAAGAAAAAGCTACTATTAAAACTCACTTTATTCCAAAGAACTTTTTGTTTATAACAGCCCTCCCAGTTTCCCCTTTTCTCTATATGAGAGTTTCTCTTTGTTCTGCGGACTTGCCTCTGGCTTTGCTGCAGCTTGCTCGTCCTGGCTTATAATTCTCTGCTTTCCCCACATAAGCCCAGTTTTGCTGGTAAAATAACTTGGCAGTTTTATTTTCTTAAGGTTAATAGTCGTTAGTCACCAGCTCGATTCAGGGCCAAGGCAGCAGCATCTTCAGATTGTGCCCACTCTGAAGAATTGTCAGTCAAATTGCAACCCCCAACATCGGCAGCACTTTTTGGCATCCAGGGCCATCCACCGGCTCACTGGGTGCCCCGGCATGTCTGA